CAGCTACCCTTCCTTATGAGGTCGTCGGTCCACCTTTTTATCACATTTTATAAAAATGACGTGTACAAATAAGGCACGAAATCCCATAAAGGTTTCTACTTTCGTTATCTGTACTGAACCCTAAAGAGCTACAATCAAAGAAAGCAAACATAATTTGTTCGCAGAAAAATCTATTACCTTTTGCAATTGAAACTTATTGATCTCATAGAGCTTTGGTTCACATGTGCCTTATTGCAATGCATTACGGTTGAAAATGTAAAACTTTTAAAAGCTCAAAAGCTCAGTTGAGAGTAATCCTTCTAAATTGGCACTCGCTAGACCCTTTGATTCTACGTATGTTGGTTTTTTGGTATTTTGTATCCACAGTTAGTATTTGGTTATTGGTTGCCATTTTAACTCGTGATCTGCTTTCCATTTTTTGAGAGGATATTAATATTCTGTTTTTGTTTTGTTTCATAGGATTATTTATTTTTAAATACCTATTTTATTAGTTATTTGTTGTATTGTTGAATATTTGGATTTATGTTATCACATTGATCATGTTACTTCACGTAGTCTTGAATTAGGTGATGGTTTCACTAGTACCTACTCAAGTAGGCCAATAGGCCTAATACTACAGAATTAATAATAATTAATTCTGTAGTATTAGATATAATTGAGCTATCAAAATATGAGTCATAAGACTTCTAATACCTACTCTTAAGTTTTCCGTGTTTGTAAAAAGATTTTTAAAGATAAAGCTAACAAAAGCATTAACCACTTATATGAATGACTAAAGGTAAAAATAACTAAAGGACATTCAAGGGTATAATATAAAGCTTGAACATGTCTATATTGTAAGAAGCTTTCTAAACACCTTATTTCAAAAATAAATGACCTTTATGACTTTACTAAACAATTATTATCAAAGACATTTTCCCAAAACTCGATTAAAATGTTAAATTAATATCCAACATAACTCCAAATTCTACTAATTCGAATTCAACTAGGTATATCAAAGCTAAACTAAATCAATTGGCTTGTGTAAAGAGCTTTGGAACTTTAAACTTTCAGCTTTCAGCCGATGACAAAGCTTTTCAGTAATATCTGTTGAACAATTCCCAGTATTTCCCAGTTTCGTATTGTTACCAAAAATGTAATTACGAGTTGGGTGGGGTGACCACAAACTTGAGTTGTTCGGGATTAGGGAGAATTTGAAATAGATGGGATTGTACTTATTTGAAGACCCTTTTGGTAACTTAACTTTGGTTTTGGTGACTGAGTTTGTCGCGGCGCTTCTTCTCAGCACTTTCCAAATGTTGGTCTCGAAGCGCTGGTGGGGTAAAAAGATTATGAGACATCTAGAGGCTCCTTAAGAGCTAGTAAGTAGTTAGTTAATTAACTTTTACAGTCTGTTGTATAATTTTAGCGTCAAGTTATTGATAAAATTTCAAGTTACCTGGCAAATATTACTATCTAACAATAAAGATCGCCGGTGATTTTTCTCTCAGACAGACATCCTTATTCGAAGTCGGTAAATCTAAAGAATGTAATTTAATTTTACATTATGTTTTCTACCGACAGCAAAATTCACTTTATTCTCAAATCATGTCACCCTACACCCCCGTCCAAATGACTTGTCAAAGCTCGGGTGTTAATTAAAATATTTGCATCCAATCCTTTTACAATGGCAGCTTCATCGGATGTGTGTAACAAAGCCCATGAAATTCACACCGTTTCGTAATTATTAAATTGAAGAGCATATTTCAGTGATGAATTGTTTCACATTGTTTGAATGTGAGTTTTAATTAACATTGCAAAAAGAAATGGTGTGTATACCTGAAATTGAGGTCATATACGCATCATGTGTTATACCATGTTAAAATGTATGAACTGTATTATGTATGTAACTTTGTTGGTGTACCTAATAAATAAATAAAATAAATAAATTGTAATCGTTGTTGGAGTTTTTTATAGAGTTATGAGATATAGCTTTTGCCCGCGGCTTTACCCGCGTGAAATTTAGTGCCACAGATTGGCATAAATTATAGCCTATATGTTAATCTGGGTTACAAATAATAATACTGTAAAGTTGCATCCAAATCCGTTCAGTAGTTTTTGCGTGAAAGTGTAACAAACATCCACACAAACTTTCGCCTTTATAATATTAGTAGGATTGAGAACTCATAGAAAGAAAATAATACAGTACTTTACTTGATTTTTTGTCTGGATTATAAATAATAATATTACATAGCACGTTTGTAAGTTTGAAAGTTTGTTGGAAGTTTGTAGATGTCAATTTGTCTAAATCTCAACCCAATCTTATCTTATACCGATTTAGCTGAAAATTGTCAGGGAGGTAGTTTAGAGCCAGGAGAAGGACATAGGATACTTTTTATCCCGTTCGAAATAAAAAAAGTCTGCTTATTTATTGCCATTAAGGCGGAACAAAGTTCGCCGGGTCAGCTAGTTATCTATATATATAAAAGAAAGTCGTGTTAGTTACTCCACTTATAACTCAAGAACGGCTGAACCGATTTAGCTGAAAATTGTCAGGGAGGTAGTTTAGAGCCAGGAGAAGGACAAAGGATACTTTTTATCCCGTTATTTATTGCCATTAAGGCGGAACAATGTTCGCCGGGTCAGCTAGTTCTTCAATAAAGGTGTAGTGCTTGGGGTACCTTTGGGAGCGGCACGGAAGGTGTGAAATTGACATAATGATGACGTGACAGATTAAATTTCGACATTATTTGACACTTTGAAGTCTCGCTCACTTAGTTTGACGTCTCAAAAACACCCTCCCGTGGCTCTCCCGTACCTCAGACACTAACTGAGTAAGCGTAAGACCTTTACTTAATTGGTTGAAACACCAATTAACTGTCACTATTAAATATTTCGAATTTGACTTGTTGACTAATTTTAAATTAAAATTTCCAGATAAATTCGGGCCTCTTCAAGGCGAGAGTGAATAAGCACTTACAGGGCAGATATGTACCATCCTAGACTGCATCCCACTTAACATCAGGTGCGATTGTGGTCAAATACCTGCCTTGTTATGCATAAAAAAAAACCGTAATATAAAAAAACCTTTAGTTTGCAAAGAAGAATTTTTGCTTTAATATGTTTCAGGTCAACAAATTAATCATTAAATCATTTGATACCAATAACGATTTTTCCCACCACACGGCTGTCATCGATCTTTTAATCCCAGTTCCCGACCTATCGCAGACGGTAGCACCGGATAATCGGTAGTGAGGGGCTCTGGCACTGTGATTTGGAACGGTGATTTTGTAAATACCAGTACTGTCGTATGGTCAAGTTATAGGAAACCATTTTAATCATGAGTAGATTTTACAGCGTAGCGTAGTAATAAATACTCTTTTATAGTACCTACATAAGAGTAAAATGTCTCGTTAGTAAAAGATTGTATTTAAGTTAAATAAAAAAAAAGCACATGAACAACTGTCTTTAAAAAGCGTTTTGACAATAATACAACACTTTCGCGACTCAAAACAAAAGAAATAAAGAGTAATTATAAATCATTTAATGTTAATTGTATTGCCAGTGTTAGCGCTGTATTTTGTTTCTATGTGTTACGATAATTTAATTTATAATTAAGAGAGAATAACAATTTAGAATGTTAAATATCATCATCGAGATCCTCTTCTACAGAAGAATGCGATCTGACAACATGTTTAAAAATTAATTAAACAGCTGTTTAGGTTTATTAAATGTTTAATAATTCCTCCTCCAACTAATTTAATTTTAATCATGTGTTATTATAATATAAAGTAACTATGCATTAATGGCATAATTTAAATTAGTTGATGATGTTTTCACTCATAAAAACCATTATTATTTATTATTTTCCCTAACATAGTAATAAACAATAAAAGTACCTATTACCATAAGACTGTGACCTCATACCTTCCCTTCCCTAATCCAAAATTGCCACCCTTCAAAACTTTCAACCGGCTAATTGCCCATCGCCAACCTATTTACAACCTTATTCAAACAGAATAAATCNGATAAAGCACGTAATCCCTTATCAGCCCTAGAGTAGGGTCAACATAAAAATACACGTTTTGTTCTGCACTTAACGTCACTTCATGTTAACATAGTATTTATTTATCGTAATACTATTTTAATTTCGCATTTACAATTGTTACGGGATTTAAAGAGATCAGTTAACAAAGAGATGTACAAATAAGTGATTGTTAGAATGCTTATTGTATTACCTTTAAAAGAGAGCCCTTGATGTATTTTGTATGGTACAAAATAAGTAATTTTGACTTTTGAAAAGTTTGTAGTCAGTTTATTTAATTCGTCTTCTTTCGAGTGTTTTGAAAATGGGTTCACGACATTGATGTAAGACTTAATAAGCTACTTTTGCCTATTTCGTCTGAATAAGATAAGATGTACCTAGCAATTACCATATTATTCAGGTTAATGTACTAAGATTTCAACTGGTGAAAGAATTTCCAAAACGAGTTCAGTACTTTCAAAAAAGAATTGGTCATACTAGTCATTGGGTCAGAAAAGTTCTTGAGTGGCTACCACAGACTGGAAGACGTTATTGCACAACGTATCTCCCACTCGGTGGACGGACGATCTGGTAAGGGTCGTGACATGACTTCTATAAAATAACAGATCTCTAATCAACATCTCATCGTTTTATTTGTACAGATTTATTTCTTACTACCGGCCGCCCGCGACTTCGTATGCGTAGATACGGTTTTACCCCCTAAGGGGTTGAATTTTGATAAATCCAATCTTAGTGAGCACCTAAGTCCTAAAAGGAAACTCCATGCAAAATTTGAGATTCCTAGCACTTGTAGTTTCTGAGATTTCGTGATGAGTGAGTGAGTCAGTCAATCAGTGACCTAGGCTTTCGATTTTATTAAATGTTACTAAGTTATCCTCAAGTCGTCTAGCCTATTAACATTGTTAAATTAGAGAGGATCGTATTCTTGCAGTAGAGACCTGACCTGATAATGTCTAACTTAACTTTTTATCACCAGACCGCGTCGAGCTCAAAAGCGAGGGCGCCCTTTCCGATTCCGAGCTCGAACACGATCACGAACACGAGCACATCGAGAACACAGAACACAGTGAGCACAGCGACCATGCTCACAATGAGCACACAGAACATGGCGATCATTTGGAAGCGCTGGACACTGGGCGACCGCGGAAGGTAATTTACTAGCATTCTTAAAGTATTTATCATCATCATCATCAACTCAGCCATAGGACGTCCACTGCTGAACATAGGCCTCCCCCAATGCTTTCCATGTTGCCCGGTTGGTAGCGGCCTGCGTCCAGCGCTTTCCTGCTACCTTTATGATGTCGTCGGTCCACCTTGTGGGTGAACGTCCCACGCTGCGTTTTCCGGTACGCGGCCTCCATTCCAGAACCTTGCTGCCCCATCGGCCGTCAGTTCTGCGTACTATGTGCCCTGCCCATTGCCACTTCAGCTTGCTAATCCGTCGGGCTATGTCAGCGACTTTAGTTCGTTTACGGATCTCCTCATTTCAAAGTATTTATCAAGTAGCTACCTTTGAGCCGGCAGAGTAGACTAGAACCAGCCCCATTCATCTCGCAGTTGTCACAAGTAAAAATAATATCTAGAGTTCCGTAGAGTGGAATAGGACTACCCCCACTATTCCCATGGATCTTGTAAGAGGTGACGGGAAACATCTGGCCAGCGTGAGGAGTGTGAGTGAGTGAGCTCGAATCTTCTATTAACCTCGGTAATTTGGAGAATGGCACCGCAGGCCGCTACCAATCGATCAACATGGAAAGCATTGGGGAAGACCTATGTTCAGCAGTGGACGTCCTATGGCTGAAATGATGATTATGATGATGATGAATTTGGAGACTAAAACTCTGATGATGGTCAACTATTTGACGCTGACTACTTATAACAGATCAATGAGACTGTGTAGCCCATAGGCGTCTAAATTGTATATTACAGAACGTTTCTAGCTCAAAACTCGATATGAGTTCGATCAATTTCAAACAAGAAAGTTTTGGTTACATTTTTTCAATCACACAATCGACCTGCTATTGACTGTCAAATTCCGGAAGAGAACTTACAAACAAAGTAGTACTTTGTTTCATACTGACCGTGGTTTTCCCGTCGTGTAGTTGTGGCAATAGTGTTTGGAGACACACAGGTGCGTGACAAAATTAAAAAAAAGTAGGTATTCATATTCGTAATTATTATTTCACCGAATACGAGTATTCGGTAAAAAATTTCTACTATCTGGCGATTCGTATTCGTTGCATCAGAAGTTATGAGCATTGTTTCTACAAAATACGGACCTAAATCATACAATGTTTCAAGCAGGTACGCCGCAGCCGGACGACGTTCACCACGTACCAGCTGCACGAGCTGGAGCGAGCGTTCGACAAGACGCAGTATCCTGATGTCTTCACGAGAGAAGAACTGGCCATGAGGCTGGACCTTAGCGAGGCAAGAGTGCAGGTGAGACTCTCTCTCCGACTTTAAGAGTAAGAAAGAGACAAAGACAAAACACGACAAATAAAACCACGTTACCCTAGAGTACGTTGAAAGACTGATATAGTGACTGATGTAGCTTCGATACTGACTTAAGAAGGAGTTTTACGAAGGCGTTGAAGCGTAAAAATGCTGGTCACTTAAGTTTGCTCGCGAGCCGAACATTGTCCGTTCGTTCGCAAAAATTCTCCGTTCTCTTGCGATAGCTCTTCTATCCACATCTCCCGAGGTTCAATGTCCGAGCGAAGCTGGTCTCTTGTGCTGATTCTTCTCAGCATTAGGTGTTCTCCAAAAGCGGTAGTTAACTATCACTAGAAGTGTAAAAGCGTCTAGCTATGAAGCTAGACAAAGTGAGGGTCAAATTCAGGTTAGGCTCTGTAGAAACGCGATGACGTTCACCACGTACAAGCTGCATGAGCTGGAGCGAGCGTTCGACAAGACGCAATATCCTGATGTCTTCACGAGGGAGGAACTGGCCATGAGGCTGGACCTTAGCGAGGCAAGAGTGCAGGTGAGACTCTCTCTCTCCAACTTTAACTTTACTTTTGCTTCGATAGTGAGTGGAGAGGTAGTTTAGAACCACAGATCACATAAACTAAAGGGAGATGTGACAAGGGGGCGGGACCGGTGTCGCAGCAATATGCCTAAAAACAGAACACATTGCTCGTGACAGCAATTAGGACAGTAGCGACGTCATAATATAAACAGTTTACATTGCTTGCGTAGTACTAAAACTTATTCGAACATTGAGTATTGATACCGCAGTGGATAATGAGCACATATTTTGATTACTTTGTGTGTGTGAATTTCTAATGCGACACTGAGTTTCGAACTTTAGTTGGCATCTCTCTATATAATCTCTATGTTTAGAACGAAGGCGTTGAAGCGTAAAAATGCTGGTCACTTTTGTTTGCTCGCGAGCCGAACATTGTCCGTTCGTTCGCAAAAATTCTCCGTTCTCTTGCGATAGCTCTTCTATCCACATCTCCCGAGGTTCAATGTCCGAGCGAAGCTGGTCTCTTGTGCTGATTCTTCTCAGCATTAGGTGTTCTCCAAAAGCGGTAGTTAACTATCACTAGAAGTGTAAAAGCGTCTAGCTATGAAGCTAGACAAAGTGAGGGTCAAATTCAGGTTAGGCTCTGTAGAAACGCGATGACGTTCACCACGTACCAGCTGCATGAACTGGAGCGAGCGTTCGACAAGACGCAGTTGAGTATCCTGATGTCTTCACGAGGGAGGAACTGGCCATGAGGCTGGGCCTCAGCGAGGCAAGAGTGCAGGTGAGACTTTTTTTTCTTTTTCTCTCGAGTAGAAAGAAAGAGACAAAGACAAAACACGACAAAGAAAACCACATCCATCTCATTCCCTGTATTGCTAGAGTACGTTGAAAGTCTGATAATATAGTTAGTGACTGATGTTGCTTCGATAGTGACTTAGTTTTACGAAGGCGTTGAGGCTTAAAACTTAACAAGAACAATAAATATTTTTTCTTTTCTTTTTCTAAAAATGCTGGTCACTTTTATTTGCTCGCGAGCCGAACATTGTCCTTTCGTTCGCAAACGTCCGCTGCTCTCTTTCGATAGCCCTTCTATCGCCAGCGATTCAATGTCTGAGCAAAGACATTATAAGAAGATTTTTAAAATTTTTGACATCAGATTACAACTTTAATAGGTACTTAAATATTTTTTAATTTCAGTTGAATTTTGAGCATCGAGCCTTTAAAGTATGTAAAGTTTTATTTAGAGAGTTAAAAAGCATATTTTCTATTAATTTCCATTAAATTAATATATCTCTATATTTAGCTTACCTGGTAAACAGTTTTAACTCTATGAATGTAATTAATTTGGCATCATACTAATAGCTATTTCATTACCGCGAATTCACAAACCGCAGTCATTATGGAAATTAATCATTAATGAGTTAATTAATGTTCGTATGTGTATTATTAATATCCATTTATCATTAATTTGGCCACACAATTTAATCTATTTGATTCGTTGATGATTCAATTAATGATTCGAATATTGGTTTCGTGATTAGTGGTTTACCCTTTTTGCTAAAAAATACCAAAAACAACGTGATTAACAAATGCTCGAAGCTGTTTCGTAAGTTTTGTTCTTAATTACAGTTTTATGATCAAAATAACATTAACAAAATTAAATAACAGGAGAAAACACTTAGGCTGGGTTGCACCATCATACTTTAACTTTGACAAACGTCAAAAATCTGTCAAACTCCATACAAAAAGTACCCGCTGTCGTTATAGTTACCGTTAAAGTTAGGTGGTGCAACTCAGCCTTATAATACTAGCTGTGCCCTCGACTTCATATGCGTGAAAATAGTTTGAATAATATTTGCCGTTTTTGAAACAATTTTCTGTTAGGTGATTATACAACGTGCTCTTTTTGATTTCCTGGAACTCTAGGGTATTAATAAGACCACTTCAAAGAATGGAATGGCATTAAATTTTTTGTTAAATTCAACAATTTTTTTCGACTTATTTTTTCATATGAAATTATCTAAAAACTTTATTTTTCACTGAAATAATTCATAATTTACATACACTTATCAATAAAAAGTCTGCACTAAAGACTAGGTGACAATTTTGAAAAAAAAAACTAGATTGATGATACTATAATCTAAATCAACTAGGTATCTTCTAAATCTAGAATCCACAATATCTTCAAAAATAGGCTTTTAGAAACACATACCTATTCCTAAGACTCTCTAACTAGTTTTTATTTATAGAATATACCCCTAAAATTTCCGGAAAACAAAAGGAGCACGTTGTAGAGCTACAAAGATTTTATTTTTACACACAACATTATTTTTATGTATGTTTTTTTGTAAATTTTTTATTCGTACAAATTCGTTCAATTATGATAATACCTACATAATACTTATGAATAATTATTAATAAAAAATGAAAGATATTATTAATAAGTACACAAACTTTTCTAGGCTCGCATATTTCATTACATGGTCTCAAATAGAGGGTTTCGGTATCATTCCATTTAATTAAAAGCTAGGGTAGAGATAGTTCTCTATACTAGTGTATAGAAATGCTTAACAAACCCTGCTACCATTGGAAATTTTCCATAGCCCGTCCACTGCAGTGTATAATTAAAATTAGTTCTATTCTGCCGGATTAGCATGGCGCTACAATACGCTAAATTGCGTCGACCACAGCGCGCTACAGTGCCTGTACCGTGGATCTATGATTTTGAGATTGTAGTCAGATATTATGGTAAGATAGATAGATAAAATCTTTATTGACATACACACAAATGGTACGGTGTAAAAGTAGATACAATAACAAATTATTAACTAATTTATCCCGGTTAAAACTGAACGGGTGCCCTTGTGCCCGCGTGGAATCCGTTTTACCCCCTTAGGTGTGAAGTTTCGTAAAATCTGTTCCTAGCGGATGTCTAAGATACCCTATAAGGCCTAAACCTGCCAANACAGGTAAGACTCTCTCACTCGAAATTTAAGAGAAAGAAAGAGACAAAGACAAAACACGACAAAGCAAACCACATTCATCTCGTTCCCTGTATAATACTTTACCCTAGAGTATGTTGAAAGACTGATATAGTGACTGATTTAGCTTCTATAGTTACCTAAGAAGTAGTTTTACGAAGGGGTTGAAGCGTAAAAATGCTGGTCACTTTTGTTTGCTCGCGAGCCGAACATTGTCCGTTCGTTCGCAAAAATTCGCTGCTCTCTTGCGATAGCCCTTCTATCGCCAGCGGTTCAATGTCTATGCAAAGACACTTTAAGAAGATTTTTAAAATTTTTGACATCAGATTAAAACTTTAATAGGTACTTAAATATTTTTTAATTTCAGTTGAATTTTGAGCATCGAGCCTTTAAAGTATGTAAAATTGAGAGAGTTAAAAAGCATTTTTTACTATTAATTTCCATGAAATTAATGTTACTCTATATTTAGTTTACCTGGTAAACTGTTTTAACTCTATGAATGTAATTAATTTGGCATCCATACTAATAGCTATTTCATTACCGCGAATTCACAAACCGCAGTCATTATGGAAATTAATCATTAATGAGTTAATTAATATTCGTAGGTGTATTATAAATATCTATTTATCATTAATTTGGCCGCACAATTTAATCAATTTGATTCATTGATGATTCAATTAATGATTTGAATATTGGTTTTGTGATTAGTGGTTTACCCTTTTTGCTAAAAAATACCAAAAACAACGTGATTAACAAATGATCGAAGCTGTTTCGTAAGTTTTGTTTTTAATTACAGTTTTATGATCAAAATACAGGAGGAAACACTTATACTCGTAATACTAGCTGTGCCCTCGCCCTGTGCGTGAAAATAGTTTGAATAATATTTTCCGTTTTTGAAACAATTTTCTTTATTAGCTGTAGGGTGATTATAGAGCTACGAAGGTTTTATTTTTACACACAAAATGATTACTATGTATGTTTTTATGTCAATTTTTTATTCATACAATTAGATTGTATTCTCATAATATGGAAATATTATGTAATCATGATTAATAACTACATAATAAGTTATGGTGCGTTAAAGTTCCACGTGACGTCAAGAAGTGCTCCACTTTTAAGTACTCCTTGACGTCACGGGCTTCATTCAATTCAATTCAAAGAAGAATCTTTGGGATTTTGGCGGGCTTTATTTCTTTAAATTTTCATTTTCATTATTTTGCCAAAGTGAAAAATACATAATTACCTATGTAGAGATTTTTGGGTAAGTAGTATTCAAATTGTTGCTTTTTTACCCAAAAGAAACATCCTTATTGCTTAACAAACCATACTACCATTGGAAATTTTCCATAGCTAGTCCACTGCCAGTGTATAATTAAAATTAGTTCTATTCTGCCGGATTAGCATGGCGCTACAATACGCTAAATTGCGTCGACCACAGCGCGCTACTGACTGTGCCGTGGATATATGATTTTGAGATTGTAGTCGGA